CCCGCCCCGCGGAGCACCCGTGGGTGCGCGCTCACCCGGCGGCAGCCCCGCGCACGCGACGCCCTGGTCGGCGCCGTCGATGAAGTAGCGCAGCTCGCCCGCCGCCGTGCGCATCATGCCGATGCGCGAGCCCGCGCCCAGCGCGTCCAGGTCGCAGCCGTAGTTGTTGCGCGTCGTGTTGCCGTCCTGCATGATGGCCGTGCCGCTGCGGGGACACCGGGCCACACGGGGACACGTGGGGACACGGGGACATGGGGACACATGGGGACATGGGGACACGTGGGGACACTGGGGGACACAGGGACACTTGGGGACACGGGGACACGTGGGGACAGGGGGACACGTGGGGACACGGGGACACTGGGGGACACTTGGGGACACGGGAACACGTGGGGACACGAGGACATGGGGACACTTGGGGACACGGGGACACTTGGGGGACACCGTGCGCATCATCCCCACGCGGGACCCTGCACCCCGTTCTAGTTGTTGCGCGTGGTGTTGCCGTCCTGCATGACGGCCGTGCCGCTGCGCGGACACCGGGCCACACGGGGACACGTGGGGACACGGGGACACTGGGGGACATGGGGACACTGGGGGACATGGGGACACTGGGGGACACTTGGGGACATGGGGACACGTGGGGACACGGGGACACGTGGGGACACTTGGGGACACGGGGACACTTGGGGACATGGGGACACGTGGGGACACGGGGACACTTGGGGACAGGGGGACACTTGGGGACACGGGGACACGTGGGGACACGGGGACACGTGGGGACATGGGGACACTTGGGGGACACGTGGGGACACGGGGACACTTGGGGACACAGGGACACGTGGGGACACTTGGGGACACGGGGACATGGGGACACTTGGGGACACGGGGACACGTGGGGACATGGGGACACATGGGGGACACTTGGGGACATGGGGACACTTGGGGATACTCGGGGTCACTTGGGGACACTGGGGGACATGGGGACACTGGGGGACTCGGGGACACTCAGGGGACACGGGGACACTTGGGGACACTCAGGGGACACTGGGGGACACTGGGGGACACAGGGACACTTGGGGACACGAGGACATGGGGACACTCGGGGACACTCGGGGGACATGGGGACACTCGGGGACACGGGGACACTCGGGGCCACCCTGGGGACCCCTTGGGGACCCCCCAGGGCCCACCTCAGCATCCAGGTGTCGTAGTCGATGTCCGTCATGGTGTTGGGGAACTCGAGCTCCTCGGGCCGGATGGCGGTGACGCCTGCGGGGACAGCGCCGCTGCG